AAAATATATTTGAATTAAAATTTTTGAATAAATACAAATAAAAAAGGTAAAATTGGTTTTGGATCCAGTGGGAGTATGTTTGCAATTTGCAATTTGGGAAAGTTAATTTTGTTTCAATTTTTATACTGAAATTTGTAATTTAATGGAAGTTGGATTTGTTTGTAAATTTTATGCGTTGTCGTTATAGGTGGGGGTTGATAATTTTGTAGTGAAAGAAAAATTATAGTAGAATGAAATGATTTGTAAAATAGAAAATAACGGAAATGAAAGGAAAATTAATGTATGGGGGATGAGGTTGGCAAGGCGGTGAGTTTTAAAGGGTAATAAACAGATTTTCTATATTTTCGGAAAAATTACGAGTTTAATGGGGAAAAGTTAAATGGCAAAGTTGTAGGCAATAAAAACATTTATAACGTTTTTAGTAACATATATTTTATATAATCTTAAAATTTATGAAAAAAATTAAAATAAAGTTTTTGGTTATTTAAATTAATCTTTAATAAAAAATAATATTGTCAACGAAATTTTGTGAAAAGTAAGAAAATTGTAAAGTGAACATTTTGTTTTTAAATGTATAGCGGGAAGTATTCTGAAAAATATTTGTCATTCGTTAATTTTCATCGTCGAGTCGTGTTATTTATATTTATAATTTGTTGGTAATCTGAATTTTTATATTCGTGATTTATATTTTGAAAAAACCTCTTTTGGAATATTGTAATGGTCTCAACGTTAATGTTGAAGAAAAAATTTTTGAATACTTGAAGTTAAGTTGTAGAAAAAAATGTGGAAAAGGTTTTTGTTATAAAAAAAAAAATTGAATATTATGACTTTTGATAAAGTTGGAGTGTGTTTTGAAGAAAAAATATCAGAAAAATTAAGTGATAAGGGGTGTTTCTGAAACATTAAAAAAAAAAAGGAATTTTCGAAAAAATTTCAGCGGAAAATGGAAATTCAGATTATAACGAGATTGTAAAAAGAAAATTATGACGAGACGATGAAGGTTGGGGAGTGGGGAGAAGTTTTTATAATACTTTCCAGTGTGGGCGGTTTTTGTTTTGTTGAAATTTTTATTGATTTGATGATGTAAAAAAAATATACATCATTATGGTGTTTTTTCAGTAAATGTGAAGAAACAAAAAAAATTTGAATTGGAAAATTTTCATTTTATCAAAATTTACAATTGTCAGTTGCTTATTAAAATTTGTATTTTAATAACTCGAAAAATGAAAAATTTCATGAGATATTGGTAAATATAAAAATTATATATCGGTAAAATATAAATAAATTGAAAAACATATTTTGAGTAATGAAGTGTAAATTTTAAGTTATTTCAAAATTGTAGGTAAAGATGAGAAAATAATTTTCGGATTCTAGTATGTTTTGTTTCTTTGCATCATTTGAGAAAATTTATTATGGAATTGTATATTTTTTTAAATTATTAGAAAGTAGACATTTTAACGAAGCAAAGGTTTACTGATTTTTTTAAATAAGTAAAAATCTTGACGTGATAATTTTTCATTGGAAATTAGGGTTGTGTTTCGAAATGAAGGAAAAACGGGTGAAAAAAAAAATTTCAAATTAAAAAAATTATAGTGTTTGGGAAATAAATAGAATAGTTTTCATTTAAATTTTTGAAAAAATTTAGTTCTTTGTTCAAGAAAAAAATTAAAAATCAAATATTTGGATATTTGAATTTTTTTATTAAATTTAGAGTTTGCGAAAAAATTGTAAATACGAAAGTTGTATATCTTTTTATTACCTACAAGATTGGCATTGAATGTTTTTTTATAAGATTCTAATTTTTTTCGGAAATTAAGGGAAATTAGTTTTTAATTTTTAGAAATGATGAAAAAGTTGAAAATACGAAATATTCTTTTTTCATCAATTTATTTATTATTTACAAAATAGTTATTATTATGGTGAATTTTAATTTTGTGGAATAGGGCATGTTGAAAATTTAAAATTTAAGGTGTATAATAGAAAATATATCTACTGTATTTTGTAGGTAATGAAAATAAATTAATTGTAATAAAAGTTGGTCTTTCAAAAGTGAGGGTGTATATAATAAATGTAGTGTTATAGAGCCGTGTAAATAAAAATCTTTGATATTATGAAATTAAATAAATAATGTAAAGTTGGTTAGTATTCGGAAAGATGTTATGGAATGTTTGGTCTTGTGGAATGTACACGTGCGTTCGGACGCACGTGTGCATGTATAAATATGGAACAAAAGTGGTTATTTAGGGCTGGATAATCTGTTGGAATGCGGTATGTGTTGGAAGGGCGATGGTACCATTCGGTATCAGGATGTGTTTTAAAGTAGGGTATAAAATATGTTAACGAAGTGATTTTAGGGATTTTAGGTATATGTTGTATGGTACAAATAATGGTAAAATGCGTATCTGACAGTGAACAATAATTTTTTACTTAATTTTTTTCAATAGGAGGCTTTTATTGTGTTTAGACGAGCATTGGGATAATTGTGGTAGAAATGATTGGGTAATGAAAAAAAAGTTAAAGGGAGTATGGGTTTTAGGGACATAAAATATGAAAGAAAAAAATAAGTTTTGGGTATTATGGAAATGGTTTATTAGTGGCGGATAATGAAGGTTGTGAGTTTTACTTACGGATTTAGTGGGGTGGGGGATGATAGATAAAGGGTTTAAGTTAGTTTGGTAGAAAAATATTAAGAAAATGTGTGAAAAGTTGTGATTTGTGAATAGATAAATGTAAAAAATATTGAGATATACTGGGTGTAAGGTAAAGGTTGGGAATAAATTGAATAGTGGAAAGTTTGGTTAAAAAAATTAATTTTTGTCATATCAATATTTACTGTGTGGTTTTTTTTTCTGAAGCTACAGGGCGTAAAAAATTTTAAAAAAATTTAATTTTTCTTCAATAACTTTTAAACATTGTAAGATAATGGAAGGAAATTTTATTCCGAGTTTAATTTGATAATTTTCTATTAATAGGAAAAATATGGACTTTGTAATTTACAAGGTGGCGTGCGTACGGATTGTACTTTAAGGTTTATTCAAGAAAATTGTGGTACGTTATTGGATTATTTTATAATTTTTTTATAATCCACTTTTAATTTTAAATAAAATTACTTTTATACGTTTTATTTGTAGCTTTTGTAAATATTTTATAAAACAAAACTTTAATAAATGGCATATTTCGCACTGTAAATATAGCAAAACAAAAGTAATGAAAACATTATGACGGAAGCTGTGGGTTAGCCATCGAAAATGGTAAGGAGGCATTGAAAATTATTAATGATGAAAATTAAATACAAAATATTTTGAAGTTATTTAGCATCCTGTAGTTTGGAAAAGAAAACTTGTACAACAAAAATTTCTATGACAAAAATTTAAATTTTCAAACAAAAAATCTATTTTAATTTATTTCCAACCTGAATGTTATATTCTGTATATACATATTTATTATTTTTATGTTTAGAGGTGTGTGGTGGTGTTTGATTAGGGAATTTTAACCATGTTTTATAAAATTTGTTGACTCTTGTATAATTTTGGCGGATATTTAAGATGAAGTGAGAGAATTGGGTATTTGTTTTTCATCAGAAAAAGTTATATGTTTCATACTAATAAATGTTAATGATTTTATAATTTGTGATGGATTTGTAAGTTGATGTGAAAGTTGATTTGTACTTGAAAAATATAATAAAATTGGATAGGTAGGAGAAGAAGGAAAAGTTATTTAGGGTTAAATTAGTAATAGAAAGAATAAAAAATTGAATATATTTATGGGGAATTTATGAAATGGGAGCGGTTAGGGAGTAGAAAATAAAAATGATTTTAATTTTGTAGTTTGAAATGGAACATTTTCAAATTAGTTTAAAAGTTGAAGGGATAGTTTCAGAAAATCGAATTGTAATGTGAAATTTTTAGAAAATTTCAATTGTTTGTACATAGTAGAAGGTTGCTAATTTTCAAACGGTTTTAAGAAAGAAAAATCCATGAACGTTCATTAATAAATTTTAATTTTGATATATCGTTTGGTTTTAATTGAATAGTGCTATTTTTCAAACGGTTTTAAGAAAGAAAAATCGATGAACGTTCATGAATAAATTTTAATTTTGATATATCGTTTGGTTTTAATTGAATAGTGTAATGTTCATTTAAAATTGTTGAAAATTTTAACAAATTAATTTTGTTTTAAAATGTTAGCAAAATGAATTTATTGTAAATTGGTCAAATTACGGCTAGTAAAAGAAAATATAAAAAATTTAAAATTATGCATAAAAAAATTAGCATTTAAAATGAAATAAATTCAATACATTGTAAGAACGGTTGTCTACATGGTTATGGGGTCCTAAGAAAAATATTATCAGTTGTAAAGCTGAAAGAAAAAACATAGAAAAAATTTCGTTGTGTCGGTAATGTGGCTGAAAGCGTGCAGGGGGCTATGAATGAAGCAAAAAATACTTGCACTTACTTTTTGTAGTCTCGGATGCCTCTAGTTTGTGTACGGTGATGTGGTTGTGGTTTACTCTTTGGTAATCTCTTTGAAATATCGAAGCACTCACTTATAATAGGGATCGAGTAAGGTAGGAACGTAGCGACAGTAAAATACAATGTATATATTTATTTATTAATATTCAGCTTCGAATGGTTGTAATTTATGAATTCTTTTTAGTCGAAGTGTTGCTTTGTATCTGTTAAGCGAAGTAATTGTTGATATTAGTTAATACGTAGGTGTTTGTGTATAAAAATCGTTGGATTGGTTTATACCTAGTTGCGCAAGACACTTTGATTTAAGGATCCGGAAATGGTAGAAATATTTTAAGTTACGAAGTAGACTTTATAGAAAACTAATAACTGTGGTGATTAAGACGGGTTAATTGCGCGACGACCGTACTTGTATGAACTGAGGTAGAACTGGAACTGATTAGTGATTACGTTGCGGATGTGAATGTTGGGAAGGGCGTGGAAGTATTCGGCTTTTGGCGGGCGGTTCCGAAAGTGTCCGATGATCGGCCACGCCCCAAGAGTTGTTTTTAACCAGTCACGATCGTTTCCCCACTATGTGGTATGGTTTATACGCATTGATTGGAGACGTTAGGATTTTAATGATGTTAGTTTTTTCGGTATCTTGGTACGGGTTGGTACGGTGGAGTTTATTTCTATACATATATTGTTATATATTTATTTCAATTTATTTGTTGTCAAACGTGGACGTGGTGTTGGTTTGCGTAATACGTGGATTTATTATTAGTGTTAATTTAAGAAAAAATTGACAAAAGACATGAAAATATAGTGTACATTAGTTTGTATTTTTGTTGTAGGATGTTCAGTGAATCGCGATTAGACGGGGCGTCGTTGTTATCACAAGTTTGTAGATGGAAGTCCAGATGAGAGTGCGAGATAAGCGAATATAAAGTAAGTGATTTTTATTTAATTTGTATGTGTATTGTATAATTTAAAAATTTTGGGTTGAATTGTAACGATTGTATCGGTGCGTGCTGTTTTAGTGGAGTTATGAGTTGTTGCGAAAAATAGTGAATGTAATTCGAAAAATATGGGTGTGAGTATATTGGATTTAGAATTAAATTCTGAGAAAAAAGTTTTTTAATTAATGCGTAATGAGAAATAGCTATTTTTAGAAATAAAAAATGAAGAGAAAAAAGGGGAGTTTGGGTGTGTTGGCTATAAAAAAAGAAAATAATGAAGATAGTTTCGATTTGTGGAATTGTAGCTTTATGATTAATAATTTTTATTTGATTTTAAAAATATGGTTTCGTGCTGTGGTTTTTATAGAAAATAATCTTTTTGTAGCATTCACAATTAATTGTGTAATTTAGATAGTTGAAGGAAAATGGCTCAGTTGGAAAAAAAAATTTAAATTGACGGTTTTTAAAGTAATGTAACTGTTAATTGATTAATGTTTTGTGGATTTGAACGTAGCAATTAAGGTTGGGTTGTAGAAGTTTATAAAAGTTAAAAAATTTGTTAATTAATAATTTCATGATTTCAACAAGTCAAGTTAAAAATAATTGTTTAAGTGGGCTGTGTTTTGAAGTGTTTAGATGTCTTTATGATTCATTTAGATATATTAAATTAAAATTGAAAATTAAAAAATTTATAATTATTTTGTTGTAAATTTTGTTTGGCGGTGAAGGGAAGATGTGAAAATCGCCATACGGAATCGTATTTTTAACTTCGAATAAAATTTTGAAATATTGTAGATTGAATTTTTGTTGTCGAAATTGATCAAATTGAAAAATTCTTTTTTTTTGGGATTCATTTTAAAATTTTATTCATTTTGAATTTTTTTTTTCGCACAAAGCTCATAATTCCATTAGAGCATGCGTGTAATTCTGAAATTTTATATCAGTTCAATCATTATGCAGTTTTAATTAGGAAATGAATGGTAGGGTAAAAATATGGTATATGAAATTTTTTAAATTGATTGAAAATGGTGAAAAGGAGTTAATTTAAAAAAAATTATAAATATAGTCTAATTGATAAATTTTAAATGATGAAGTTGAATGATTTTAAAGTATGAATTGGGTAGTAACTATGTTATATGTGATGGTTTGAAAAATTTAAATTTTTCAAATCCTTAATATTTTCATATGTTTCAGTATCATTCAAAATATCTTTTTTGGCAAACTGTGATAATATTTTTATTGCTTGTTGAAAATATATAAAATTTTGAAAAAAAGTATTATGGTTTTCTGGTTATAACTTTCTTAATAATGGTTCAAATTAAAGTTTTCTTTTAAAAAAATTTTCCTTTTTAGATGGTTTTTATAGCTAAAAATTGAAAAAAGATATTAGGTGTTTTTGGATTAGATTTTTGAGTTTGAAATTTTACAACGAAAATTTCAGTGTGTGTTTTTTGATGTTTGTGAACATATTTTATTTTAAATTATTATTGTTTAAATGACTTTTAGGATTGGTTCGGTTGTGGGCCTTTCATAATTATAAATTTTGTTTAAATTTTTGAAAATTAAGAATAAATATTTTTTCTCAATAAATGATTAGAAGAACCGATTTATGTCATTATATTCATTTTAATAAATTTAAAATTCATTGTAATACTGTTTTATCATTAAGTGATGTTTAAAATCAATAAGTAAATTTTGTCTATTTATAAAAAATTATAACAAAAATTTTTATTTATTTTCGACTTTATTTTTAAAGTATTTTAAAAATTTTTTATCAATTCTATTAAGTCATGAATATTGGTGTTCAATTTTCATTTAAGATACGATTTAGATGCAAAAAAATTGATTTGCGTTACAATGTAGTTAAACAAATTTAAAATGTCATTGAAATATTGTAAGGAATAAAATATTAGTTTGTAAATTAGAGTATTTATGTAAGAAATTTTCATTGTTGTTTGGCATGATGAAATGAAATTTTTGGGTTGTAGTTATTGATTTATTGATTTTAAAAATCAATTAATAATTAAGAAGTATTAAAATTTATTTTAAATAATTAAAAAAGCAAATGAAAATCGGTATTTATAATGGGTTATAGAGAACATAAGTATAATTTTTAATATTGAAATATCAAAATAAAAGTAATGGAAGGTCGATGACTGCATCTGTTTTAAAAGTTATTAAGACAATAGCACTTTCAAATAAAAAATGTTCACAAAAATTTAAAGAGATGCATTTTTAAAAATACATTTTCAAAATTGAAAGTTAATTATTTTAATGAAAAACAGTTAATATTATTGTTGAATTATTATTTGGAGAGGTTATCGAAATAGAAATATTTCAATAAAAGTAAAAAGGTTTGATTTTGAAAATTTTAAATAATTTTGAAAAGTAATGAAAAATATATTAAAATGTATTAGAAAAATTGTTTAGGGTGGTAAAAAAAAATATTTAAAAATAAAGGAAAAAGAAAATTTGTTTTTTTTTAATATGTCTGATTTGGCATGGAATGTAGTGTATATAGTGTTGGGAATAAATTACATGGTGGAATTTTTATGTAAAAAAATTAATAGTTGTTATATAAAGTTATGTTCTATGGGTTTTCTCTTTCAGGCTATGGGGCGCCAAAAAATTTAGAATTTGAATATCGATTTCAATGTAAAAGTTTTTTTTCAGTCTATATAACCATGTTCGGGAGTTGAGTTAAAGCAGATTTCATAATGTTTTTGTTATTTTTGTTTTTCGGTGTTAGTAGTGGAAAAAATGGTATTTACAAAAGTTTTATTTACGGAAAAAATATAAGAGCTGGGAATAAAATACAAGAGGGTAATTTTGTTTAAAAAAAAAAAATATTAAAATAATGTTTTTACTAGTAGCGTACCAAGTTTTTCTTCGAAAAATCTTACGGAACAATTTTTATCCACGTCACTGAGTAACTTACAAATTCTATTTTTTTCATATNTGTGATGGTTTGAAAAATTTAAATTTTTCAAATCCTTAATATTTTCATATGTTTCAGTATCATTCAAAATATCTTTTTTGGCAAACTGTGATAATATTTTTATTGCTTGTTGAAAATATATAAAATTTTGAAAAAAAGTATTATGGTTTTCTGGTTATAACTTTCTTAATAATGGTTCAAATTAAAGTTTTCTTTTAAAAAAATTTTCGTTATTACATGGTTTTTATAGCTAAAAATTGAAAAAAGATATTAGGTGTTTTTGGATTAGATTTTTGAGTTTGAAATTTTACAACGAAAATTTCAGTGTGTGTTTTTTGATGTTTGTGAAAATATTTTATTTTAAATTATCATTGTTTAAATGACTTTTAGGATCGGTTCGGTTGTGGGCCTTTCATAATGATACATTTTGTTTAAATTTTTGAAAATTCAGAATAAATATTTTTTCTCAATAAATGATTAGAAGAACCGATTTATGTCATTATATTCATTTTAATAAATTTAAAATTCATTGTAATACTGTTTTATCATTAACTGATGTTTAAAATCAATAAGTAAATGTTGTCTATTTATAAAAAATTATAACAAAAATTTTTATTTATTTTCGACTTTATTTTGAAAGTATTTTAAAAAATTTTTATCAATTCTATTAAGTCATATGAATATTGGTGTTCAATGTTCATTTAAGATACGATTTAGATGCAAAAAAATTGATTTGCGTTACAATGTAGTTAAACAAATTTAAAATGTCATTGAAATATTGTAAGGAATAAAATATTAGTTTGTAAATTAGAGTATTTATGTAAGAAATTTTCATTGTTGTTTGGAATGATGAAATGAAATTTTTGGGTTGTAGTTATTGATTTATTGATTTTAAAAACCAATTAATAATTAAAAAGTATTAAAATTTATTTTAAATAATTAAAAAAGCAAATGAAAATCGGTATTTATAATGGGTTATAGAGAACATAAGGATATTTTTTGATATTGAAAAATCAAAGCAAAAGTAATGGAGGGCCGACGACTACATTTGTTTTGAAAGTTGTTAAAACAATAGCATATTTAAAGAAAAATTGTGCACAAAAATTGAAAGAGACGTGCATTTTAAAAAATACATTTTGAAATTTGAAAGTCAAAAAATTTAATGAAAAATAGTTAATATTTTTGTTGAATTATTATTTGGAAAGGTTATCGAAATAGAAATATTTCAATACAAATAAATTTTTATTTGGATCATTACTAACAAAGTTATTGTTAAAAATGTAAAAAAGGTTTGATTTTGAAAATTTTAAATAATTTTGAAAAGTAATGAAATACATTTTAGAATTTATTAGAAAAATTGTTTAGGGTGGTACAAAAAAATATTTAAAAATAAAGGAAAAAGAAAATTTGTATTTTTTAATTTGTCTGATTTGGCATGGAATGTAGTGTATATAGGGTGTAACGTAAAGGTTGGGAATAAATTAGATGGTGGAATTTTTATTTAAAAAAGTTAATAGTTGTTATATAAAGTTATGCTCTATGGGTTTTCTTTTTCATGTTACGGGGCGCTAAAAAATTTATAATTTTAATATCGTTTTCAATGTTAAAGTTTTTTTCCAAAGTCTATATAACCATGTTCGGGAGTTGAGAAAGCAGATTTCATAANGAATATGGTTGTAAAAAATGGGAAAGTCGAAAAGAAATGCTTTATTTTAAGAGAACAAATAAAATATGCCACTTATCGAAATTTTTTTCATGAGAAAGGTGTAGGTTTTGAAAAATATCAATTTATTGGTTTTTTTTAAGTATTGATTGTTATGTTACATTTTGATATGTATTGAAAAAACCATTCAAAATATTTTGATTTCTCTTTTGTAATTTGTTTATATTTATGATTCTATATTTGCTATTTACTGCAAGTATTTTGTGTGACAATTGAAAAAAGTTCATTTTTCAAAATTTGAAAAATATTAATTTTTTGAGATGTATAGATATTTTGAAAAAAAAATATGCCTTAGAAAATTGGTTCATTTTTCTTAGTGAATATAGTC